TCTACTTTCAGAATTACAACTTTAAGTACTGTTGTGCCTTTGGCAGATGCTGAAACCTTGTCAAGAACTGCAGCTGTCTAAGAACTGAATAATTGTTTTAAAACTAAATTTTTTTATACTGTTTTCCTTAAGAAGAACATCCTGCCAGATGCTAGGCTTGTACTAGAATTGGTGGGCACTCCGATAACTGACTTGTTCTACAGAATTGTAAATGTAAAGGCACTCACCACAAAAATCACTATCTAATCTTGTGCTCTACACAATACAAAATTTCATCTAAATAAATCTTTCGTATTTAAACATGTTCAGCACTAGTCCTGATGCTTAAAAAAAGGGAAAACTTATACTTAAGAAAAAGGCGAATGAATTAAGTAATCTTATTAGTATTTCTAACACTGCCATTTTAATATATTATTCTAGATTTTAGATTCTATATTTTAATAATACTTGAAATTTTATTCAGATACTCCACTTTTTGTTAGAAACCTATTTCTTTAAATAAAACAATGAAGAGAAGAAAGAGTAAGGTTTTTTTACAGGCTTTATGTGCTTAAGTGGATGTAAACTTATGAAGAGTGATAGGTTTCCTCTACCAACTGCCACAGGCATTTCTGAGTTTTCTTAATTATTTACTTTGTTTTTCATTTAACATCTGTCATTCAAGCAGAGTTTTATCAGTTCAAAATGTGTTATCTCTGAAATGAACTGCTGAGTTGCCTGGTGTCCTCCCTTTTGTATTATTTTGGGGTTTTTGTTAAGAATGGGTGCAAACAAAACTTAATCAGCTGAAGATAGAAGGAGGCACTGCTGTTCCCAAGGGCCTGTGAATAGGGAAGGATTAGCTGGTGTCCTGGTACTACAAATCCAATTAACACGCAGCAACAGAACAAACCCAACCTCACTGTAAAACTGCAGTATAAAAACATCTTACTCACACTGACAGAGGTATCGTTGACTGAATGGCATAAGTGATGCGTTTTCCAGATTCATTAGACTCATGCATCTTGAAAACGAATCTGTATTTTTCTTAGGGATTATGCCTCCTTTTTGTAACTAAGACTGACAATTATTTATATCAGTTGTTGCAGTGGCAGCCAGCTGAGTTGGTTGAGTTGGTTGTCATCAGTTGGTGAGACAGCGTTAATCATCTGAGCTGTGTCTTGCAGGTGGCTTTAGCACATTTAAACTGACAGAGTGTGGGACAGACTGAGATTCGGTGCAGAGGGGCTTTTGTGGAAATATGGCTTGACAATGGGTTGCCTCATCAGTCATGCCAGTGCTGCACCCAGTGTTGAGAACCAAAAATTGAGCCAGTTCATGGAAGACTGAAGTTAATTCTGTCAAGTGGGCAGTGGGTAAAGAGACAGATTTGTTAGGCACGTATTTTCAGTGAAACATCTGTGGAATTAAGATCACATTCTTAATGACTGATGATAGTCTCTGGGAAGTCAGTCAATCAGTCTTTATAATATGCAGGTTCTCTGAGATCCTGAGATTTGATGCTGAGCAGAATATATTTATACATTTTTTTACGTTGTATTCAGAAAAATGTTACTTGCTCTTGGATTCTACTGTTTGCAGGTGGTTCATTTGGATGATTTTGCAGAGCTCTTGCGTAGCCTTTTCCATAATGTTATATACAGCTTATTCTTTTGTATGCCTTACATTTTATTTGAATGTTAAAGGCAAACATATTTCACATTAATGTATAATTAATGCAAGTCTTAATATGAACACAAAAATCATGTAACATGTCATAATACCTAACATAGGAGAGCCCACCGTTTCACTGAATCCTTTATCCTCAAATTACCTATGCTTCAAAGTTCAGATTTTTTCCAGACCTGGCAAGGCTTTCACTATTGTAACAGAAAGAATTACAAGTCTGGTATAGCTGTTCAGATACTATCCAAGCATATAATCTACCTCTTCTAAGCTAGTATATATTGGATTATATGTATCCTAGTATATACTTTACAAATCTGCTCATGCTTTTTGGGGTTTCTTTCCCCACAAGTGTCATGCAGCAATGCTCACCTCTAAAGAAAACGTGATTAAGTTTTCCCAAATGAACATAAGATTTTCTGCAAGAAGATAAAATCTAATGTTTGTGCTGCCACATGTCTTACTATGTATTGTTAAAGATGCATTAAAAGGAGAAGAAAAATATTCTCTCTGCAGCTCTGAAGCTGCAGAGTAGTTTACAGTTTAAGGTTGTGCAGTGCTGTTGTCAGACCATGACTTGGGGATGTGTGTGACAGTTGTGGGGGCTTTTTTTATCCAACACCTCGCTCCTCTGTGTCAGTGTTACTGATCTGGAGCCAGGAGAAAGCCAGGCTGATGATGATCCACCACCCAGCACAGAGAGTCACCACTCAGTTGAGCAAGGCAATTCCAGCTTTCTCCTTCTTCACTCCTCTGAAATAAGAAAGTAAATTACAGATAACTAGTATGGAGATCAGTGACTCTGTAAATAGCTTTTTAAAATTACTTAAAGTTTTAAATCACTGCTGATGGGGGCGGAGAATATATATATATATATATATATGTAGTGGTTTTGTGTAAGAGATTGTTGTGTGGTCATTTAGTGCATTTACTTAATGAAAAGTGAAGTGCTGACATGACATTTGATCTGGTATAATAAAGCAAGAATTGTGTATTCTTTGAGTATGCAATAGCTTACTGAAGTATGTTTTCTGAAAAATAGTTTATCAAGCTGTGGGAGGGGGTGGGGGTGTGAAATAAGTCCTGGCACATGTAGCAAGAGATTAAGTTAATTTTTTATATTATTTTTTTTTTAAAGTGTTCATGGAGTACAAACAAGTTCACAACTGCATCCTCATATCTGCTTTTAATATACATTTTAAATTTCTGTCCATGGCTACAAAATGCATTGATAAGTAGAACTAAACCTTTTGCATTTTACAAAAGCAGTTCTCAGTAACTCCAGTCTAAGTCAGACAAGAAATGAACATATTGTAGTCCTGACAGAACCTAAACCATCAATCAAATAGTCAAAATTAATTAAATAAACAGAAAAGTAATGTTATTGACAGAGTTGTCTTGGCATCTGAATGATTTGTTAGAGCTGAGATTCAGCTATCCTATTTCATTCAGATGTGTACCTAAGTGCAGAATGGTCCCACTGAATCAACTACCAGAGTGATAACAATTCAGTTTTGAATTGCTAATGCTGGTATTCATAGCAATAAGTAAGTCTAAGAATATTATTCAAGTAGCAGTCTGAAAACATCATTACTGGAATGAATAATCTTTTGTATTTTTAATTCTTTTTAAAGCAGTTTTAATGCACAGTCACTACTACTTTTAATTTTTTGTTGCTCAAGCAGCAGTTGAGCTTGCAGCTAATCCAGATCTTGCACATTTGTAAGCTTTAATAATGCAGCTTCTGTCTAACTTTCAGGTCCTGTTCTGTTTGTGTAGTCCTCTCTGCCACTGGTTCCTTGATAAATTACAACATGCTTGATTGACTTAGTTTATAGTTTGTTTATTTACTTCTGATTCTGTTGTTCATAATATTTAAATACTCAGTTTCTTTTTTTGGGAATCAGCTGTAATGTTATTGTAATAATACTGTATCTGAATAGTTAAATTAAAAAACAAAAATAGGGTGGTACTCTTCTTTCACTGTCTTGAAATCCACTACTGTTGCAAACACATTTTACTTAACTTCAGTAAGTATACAGAAAAAAAACCAAAACACAACACCATGTACTACTGTCAAATTTAAAAGATTGATATGATTTTTACATATATGCACTTCAAAATGAATTAATCTAGTTTCAAAATACACATCTAGACAATAAATTAGGAAAAATAGGAACAAATAAATAAGAATAAATAAATAGGAGTTACAAAAGGGAAGGATTTGCCTATTAATTATTCTGTTTAGGCCATTTTAGAATAGGCATTTCATAATGTAATGCATTGTAATGTAGTCTTCCTAAGTGTTTATCTGAACACCAGGCTGCATAAATAAAGATCACCTATTTGCCTCAGGAAACTTTAGTTAGAGACGAGATGGTTGGCTGGTTCTTCAAACAGTAATTAATTATTTTCTGTCGATTGGATTTGACAGCCCCCAAAAGGACACCATGTTACTCTGCAGTTAGAAATAACCGATGTATCCAGCATTAGTTATCATACATACAGTTGCATGTAGAATATTGTATTGAATTAACCAAGGCTCACTTTTGGTCTCAAGTGCAGTCAGTGTCTGTTGACATGGTCTCTGCTATGTATGATGAAGTTTCACTAAAAAGAGGAAAGATCTTCCTGCTCCTTTCCTGATTTCTCCCAGCATAAAACATGAGAGTGATATTGAAGGCAAAAAGTCAATTTACCAAGCATGGCACCACTCTGAGAAAATGTTTGAAATCTTTATTGCTGCCAAGTGCAAGCTCTGAAGCTGCCAGGGTGGATCAGTGTTTGCCATGGCTTGGCTGTAAGAATATTGTTTATATGGGAGTGATTCTGCAACAAATATAACATAAGGAGCTTCCACTTTAACTGATAAAAGAAGCTCCTTAAAATAGAAATAATAAAGGGATGGTTACCTGTGGTTAGTACCGTAAGACAGTGTCTATATCGCACTTACGGAGGGTCCTTTCAGGCTTATAGCAACACCTCTGTCGCTGAATTTGTCTGCCAAGAAGCTGACTGAAACATGTCTCTTGAACTGTGCTGATGCAGTATTGAGCCTATGCTACTAGCCACATCATAGAGAAATGTTAAGAGTATGATTGAGCTCATTTTAGCTTAGTTCTCCACTATGATGAAACATCTGTTGCTCAAGTTGATAAAATTATTTGTAATTTTTTTAATGTCTTATTGCTGATATATCAAAAAAATGTAAATAGTATAACAATTAGGATGATATGGGGGTTTTAATTTGTATTTTTTTTCTCTCTTCTCTTTCCTTTCCACTTACCCTTCCCTGTCCCCATCTCCCCCCCAACCCCTGCCTCCTTTTTGCACAGCCTCAATTGAAGAGGAACCAACTTCAGCAGGTATGAATAATTTATTATGACAACTACATCATGGTAACCATTACTTGAGAGATACCTTTTAAAAAATCTTTTAACAAGGTTTATTTTGTGTATAGCTCATGCTAAATAGTCAGTGTCGTAGTTCAAAATCTTCTCTGCCACTTTCCTTTTTGCTTCTTCCTTGGTTAAGCTGGTGCATCAGACTTCATAAAAAACGAAAAACAAACAAACAAATTAAACAGGTCAAAAGCAATCAAGAGTAGAAACACCTGTGTTTGTGCTAGTTTTTTAATCTGTCTTTATGCCAGCGAAGCTCAATCACTTACCTAACTCCCCAAAACTGTCATCCTTGAAGACAGTGCAGCCTGTGAGGAAGTGGTGAAAGAAGGAAAGGACAGCTAGCTCAGAAGCATCCTGCTCGGAGAAAATGTACTGCAGACTGTGGCCTGGATATCTGCTCAGCAAACTTTTATTTCCATTTACAGGCTGCCAAGTAGTGAGAACGGTTAACAACACCATCATAAAAATTAGTTTAGGAGCTCCCCAAGAGACAGAAACACATAGTGTTTATTCTTTTGTGAAGATTAACTATTTCTAATTAATTGGCAATCCATTAGCTTGGGAGTATTTAAAGAAAAAGAAGGCAACACACCAAAGAAGAATGGCACTAAACAGCTTTACATATTTGAAATGACATTGAGTTGTATAAACTCAGTGAGCTAAATGAATAGGGAGCCACTTTATAGTGGCTTGTTAAAAGCAATAAAAGTCTCCAGAGGACCAAAGGAGAAAAGGTAAGGAAAGTGAATGAAGGAAGGAAGATAGCAAGGAAGGACTGAACACTGTTTACAACACTAACCTACAACTTGGGAGCAATATAAGTAATTAGAGTACGGTAGAGAATAATAAATGAAAGGATGGAGAACAAAGCCAAGTGTAGAGTGTGAGAGAGGGAGAGTAGTTAAGACTAGCACTGAATACAGAAAGGAGCAAAAGGGAGCTTTTAACGTTAAGGTAGTAGTGGAAAGGGAAGAAACATCACTGAGATGGGAAAAAATACTGCAAAGCAGAGAATGGAAGAATTTAGGAAAGAACTGTAGAGTACTAACATACCCCTGAGGAGTATGCATCAGCCTTCAACTATCCATTTCTTGCGAGATCTGTCAGTCTTGAAATTGTCATGGAAAATATTTTAATAGAAACCTATTGGAGCTGCTCAGTAGGAGTGTCAGTTGCAAAAGATTTTATTTTTTTACAAAGAAAAGATAAAAAAAAGCACCTGTATTTCCTTTTGGAATTGGTTTAAGTATGCATATTTTGTAGAGACAGAATTTAGGGGCGTATACGAATGCACTGTATACATTGTTCAAGATAATCTTGCCATGTTTATACATTGTGAAACCATAATTCCTGTTGTGACCAGTGGAGCTTCTCATAAAGAAATGGCCTTCCTCTTTGCATTTTGAATGTCACTGCAATTTTTGTGAAAACCTGTATCTGTGGGCTGGCCAAGCTAGCCAGATACATCAGCTGAAAATGGATAAAAGGAGACAAGTGGAATTTATAAGACAGCCGCATGGGCTCCACTACATGTCTCTATTAGGCTTACTAGCTGAAATTTTAATAGTTTCACAAAAGCCTACAGATTCTGTATTCGGTTCCTCAGGAGCCCTATTCTTCTGGAGTGCCAGATGACATTGTTTGCTTTTGTATTCATTTAAATGGATTGTATTTAATCACTTCTGCCTGCTTTGTTTTTGTCTGCTGTAATATCACTGCTTTAATTCTCCATATCATTGTTGTGTTCAACAAAGCTCAGCCAATAATTTACAATGTTTTGAGCATTGCTCCACCACAGAATATTCCTAAATAGTTACAATCTCCTTGGATTAATCTATTATAAATAATATATGTTACACCTTTTTACACATACTTTTTCAAATCTTTTCCCCTGAGACTGGAACAAATGTGTTTCATACTCAAATAATTAACTTACTCGTAGTTGTTTGAATGAGCAACACCTAACTTTTAGCCATTATTTTTATTATTCTTAGTCTTTCAGGGTTTGTTGGCATCTAAAAATGTGCCACAATTATTTATGTGGTAACAGCTATACCAGTGTAACTTTCTGTATGAAAACTCCTAATGGAAAGACTGATGACCTTTTCATGATAGTTACTCTGTGAGAGAAAGCTGTCTGCAGTAAGAGTATACACGTGGGAGTTGCACTGATACAACTACACAAACAGATATTCCCACACAGACAAATCAACAGCTAGAAGTACACAAACATACAACACCAGAGTGTTTTTATTCTTTGATTTGGACAGATGAACAAATGCCTCTGGCATAAATGGTACATGGTAGATTTACCATGTGAAAAGAAACACATATTTGTAAACATTTGTGCAAATAAATCTCAACTGCTCAGAAATTGTGTTACAAGGAAACATGACTAAATACCTGCAAAAGTAAGTGAATAATTGTAACAGTAACTCTTTCGGCTATTTAATGAAAGTGAAACCTACAAGTACAATATAAAATTTAACAATACAGTGCACTATATTGCTCCTGGGGAACTCAAAATCAAAACCAGACTGATTAATTAAAAGCAAGGGAAAAAATAAATTTAGTGATGAAGGGCATGCATGTGAAAATGAAGTTATTTTTTACTGTTTGTTAGAAAGGTATTTCTTGTTATAGCTTCTCCAGAGGAAAATCTTTTAACAAAATGCAATTATTTACCTGACATTAATTTTTATTTTAAAATTTAGTAAGAAATACTGGCTCTTCAGATGCTTTATAATATATAGGTTCTATTGATTTTACTTTAATATATGATGAGATATTGTTGATTTGAAAACAATAGATCAGTGCATTCTTATGGGTTTGTTTTAAAGCAACATATGTCTCAGATTATATTGACATTTACAAAACTCTGTGTTCTGCTTAAAACAGATACTTCTTCCTCTGAGTAGGAAGGCAGTCAGGCAGTTTGAAAGATGCATGGGTGCTGAAAAATAAATAGAATCTCCATCCAAAGCATCATGCTGTCACCTGGAGCTTTTCACAGTAATTTCAGCAGGCTGTGCCTTGTATAGATAGAAATCAAGTTCTGTCAGCTACCACATTATGCATTTTTCCAAGAGAAGCCACAAGTTTTCTCTGGTTTGTGACATTTATCTTCATGAAGTGTAATTAAACTCTTGTTTCTAGTATGCTGGGGAGGAAGTATCCCATGCTGCCAGTTTCAAGGCCTGGAAATCAGCACTTAGCATTTAAAATAATTAGAAGTATCTTATAAACACTCTGAAATAAAAAGACTCCACTTAGTGTTACAGTTGCAGGGCTGAAAAGGTGAGATCAGCTGGAGGGCAATGTAGTATTTTTTCAAAAAGTACCCATACTTATTAAGGAATATGAGGTAGGCTAAACTGGCAACTAGTGTGTTAATTTAATGAAGATGATAAATATTATCTGAACATTTTATGAACATCATAAACTTTTAATTGATGAGTGATCAGGATCAAAACTAGGATTTCTTTCTCTTTTCGATCAAAGGGATAAAACATTACTTATTCCCATACTCTGCTCTTTGGGACAAAGTCTGTCTTCTTTGACAATTCCCTCTGTGAGTAGTCTTGTAGAAGTGAAATTACCTAAAATTTTACTGATTGTTGTAAGCACTAGGTTGAAGATCAATTGTCCTGAAATAATAAATGCCCTGTGAGTATCTTTCTTTACAAATGGTATTTCACAGTGTTTCCTTCACTCTCCGTATGCTTCAGTCCAATGAACTGTAATCGTAACTCATTAAACGCATTTAATCTAAGAAAAAGCATAGTTTTTTTAGTGCATGATTTTTAACCAAAGCTAAAACATCAGGTTTTCAGATGTTCCTCACAGTTTCAACAAGGTTTTCCTTAGACCTACTTCTGGATAAACATTGATCTAAATCTCTTTTTCCATTCCAGTTAATTACCTATGGGTTTATGTTCTGGTAGACATCTGAACACTCACTTTGGAGCTGCTTCCACATATCTGCTTACTTATTTTGAGTTTCAGATCAATTAAATAGTTTTATTAGAAGCTCCTGCATTCTGTGAGAGCAAGCGAAGCAAATCTCAGCACAGTTCTCTTGGAGATTTCCTTCTGTGGTTCTTTTCCCATCTGCACAAATGGCAGGAGTCATTTAATGCAGTTTATTGAACTAGGAGGAGGTTGCTTTGTTGCAAATTGTTCTTAAGCCTAATAATGTATCAGCTTCTGTTGAATGTCCTGCTGTTTGAAGTTTTGCAAGTTAATGGTGTTTTTCCATGGTTTTGTCCCCCTCTCTGTGCTCAAGGAGTCTGAAATAATTTCTAAAGGTATCAAGGAGTAATTCTTCCAAGACACAATGAGATAGAGCATAGCATAACATGCAAGACTTTATACACTTGCCTTTACACTGTGACTTTTACTGAAATAATAAACATGTCCTTTGAGAGCATCACTTAACTGAAGCCATTCCTTGGTTTTGTCACTGAATTTTATTTTTTTTTTTAAGCCTTGTGTTTTTATTAACTGGCTTTTGTGTCTTTGTATTCCATCTATATGCAATGTCCAAATGTATCTAGACTTTTATGAGAGTAAAAGGTCTTTTACAGTTAGAGTTTAATATTGTTGAAATGGAATTTAGGTGTTGAAGAGATTGTACACTCAATATATGATAGAAATTTCTTCTTCAAAGATATTATTAAAAAATAATCCCAACAAGAATCTTGTGGCACAGTATGTGCATGTATTCACAGCTGCATTGTACATCTGTGTGCAGCTAATACAAGCAGTCTATTATTTCCCATAGAAAATAATTTATTTTCTACAATACCATGTTATATTTTATATGTAACCTGCCTTATTTAGAATTTCGACTTCTATAGAAGTTATTTTAGCTTGCCTTTTTTTTTTTTTTTTTTTTTTTTTTTTTTTTTTTTTTTCCTTAAAGAAGTGAAATACAAGGGAAGAAACCCCACACTTTCGAG